TTAAATGTAAAATATTGTGAAGTTAACAAAGAAAGTAATTTTCGCATAGTAAACAGCACGTACAATTCACATTAATTACCAAAGAGAAGTAAAAAATATGAAAAAATTGCCCTTACTGCCTGACTAACGCAGTAGAAACAAGAGCACCGCTAGGCGGAGCATTATATGCCCGAAAGTGATTTTTTTTTTAGTAAAGATGAAGCATTTGTAAGACATGGGAATTAAATAAAGTATTACCTCCTTCAAAAAACAATCCTCCTTTAAAGTTTCAATATTGTGGTCCAAATGGAACTTAAGTTATGCTTCGGAAACTGTTTTCAGTTCTTAGGTAATAGTGACCTTGACCTTTACCTTGTGACCCCAAAATCAATAGGGGTCTTCTACCAAATATGTCCAATCATACTATGACTGGGCCAAATGAAACTTAAGTTATGTTCTGACAACTGTTTTCAGTTTTAAGGTCATAGTGACCTTGACCTTTGACCTTGTGACTCCAAAATCAATAGGATTCTTCTACCTAATATGGACAATCATCCTATGAAGTTTGAATATTGTGGGCCAAATGGAACTTAAGTTATGCTCAAGAAACTGTTTTCAATTTCTAAGTAATAGTGACCTTGACCTTTGATCTTGTGACCCCAAAATCAATAGGGGTCTTCAACCCAATATGGACAATCATCCTATGAAGTTTGAACACTGTGGGCCAAGTAGAACTTAAGTTATGCTCCAGAAACTGTTTTTAGTTTTAAGGTAATAGTGGCCTTGACCTTGTGACCCCAAAATCAATAGGGGTCTTCTACCCAATATGGACAATCATCCTATGAAGTTTCAACACTGTGGGCCAAATGGAACTTAAGTTATGCTCTGGAAACTGTTTTCAGTTTTAAGGTCATAGTGACATTAACCTTTGACTTTGTGACCCCAAAATCAATAGGGGTCTTCTAGCCAATATGGACAATCATCCTATCAAATTTAAACACTCTGGGCCAAATGGAACTTAACTTAGGCTCCAGAAACTGTTTTCAGTTTTAAGGTCATAGTGACCTTGACCTTAGACCTTGTGACCCCAAAATCAATAGGGGTCTTCTACCCATTATGGATAATCATCCTATGAAGTTTGAACACTGTGGGCCAAATGGAACTTAAGTTATGCTCCAAAAAAACTGTTTTCAGTTTTTAGGTCATAGTGACCTTGACCTTGTGACCCCAAAATCAATAGGGGTCTTCTACCCAATATGGACAATCATCCTATGAAGTTTGAACACTGTGGGCCAAATGGAACTTCAGTTATGCTCCGGAAACTGTTTTCAGTTTTAAGGTCATAGTGACCTTGACCTTGTGACCCCAAAATCAATAGGGGTCTTCTACCATATATGGACAATCATCCTATGAAGTTTGAATATTGTGGGCCAAATGGAACTTAAGTTATGCTCCGGAAGCCAAATTGCTAACGGACGGACGGACAGAAGGACGGACGGACGTTCTCACAGGACAGTAATTATGTGGCTACTCTATTGTTCTCTCTATTGTTCTTTTTAGCCACACAAAAGAAAATAGCCACATAAAAGCATTACGGAATGAATGACATCAAAGAGAAAGAACAGTTACCTATTGTCCCTCTAGCCACATAATTACTCTCTGACAGACGTACGGACGCCAGGGGGTATAACATAATATGCCCGAAATTCTTCGGGCATATAAAAATGGTGTAAACAACCACAAAATCAGTTATTTATTGCACATAACTTGAATCTTTGATTAAAATCTTAGTGTTTTGATTTTCCTGAAATATTTTGGCATGCAGCTATAAACTTGAAAAAGAAAAGAAGTGAGAATTCAGGGATATAACTCATGGATATCATATATTTTTTTTTTTCAGCTGGAAAAACACATTTGCAGCAACAAGTTGACTTGCTTAAGATGTAAGTAATATTAAAACAGTATTAAAATCCACGAAAAAATCGCCTTAAAAAATCTCATTTCCCTTTTTCAAGATTTTTTTAAAATTTACAAATACTTTTAGCAGCACTAAAGAGCTGATAATGTATATTGATGATATATTAATATTGAATGACAAAATATCAACGAGACACCTTTGAAAAGTTAGGGTATGTGTGCAATATACAGAAGAGCTGACATTTATATGGTCTCATACATATCTATGATATATCAATATTGAATGACGAACAACATTTGTATTTTTTCTTTCCATGTCAATTTTGTATTCACTCTGTTTTCAAAACCATTAGTATTATCTATATTCCTATTACGTGCATTTTCGTAACAATTGTGTACCAGGTCCATTTTTAAGACATTTTCTAATATGTCCATTTTTCCAAAATAAGTATCATTAGGTCATTTCCCCAATTAATTTTGTATTATAATATATCCCTTTAATTAAAAAGACTATTGTATTATCAGGTACATTTTGAATGTGCTAGGCAATGATCAGGGACTGTTTGACAACGCAAGCAGGGAACTTGACAAAACAGATGGTGATGAGGAACTAGAGGTAATCAGTCACTTTACATGTATCAATAATCATGTAATATATGTATTTGGTGGGAACTTTAAAATAAGAAAAAAGAAAGTCTTCAATATTTTTGTTATGCCAGATTTGTCACAGAATGTTATATGGTTGAATTATAAGATAGTATATATTTAGTATATTTTTAGTTTGTGTTTAAAGTTACTCCAACACTGTGAAAGTCAGTGGTGACTTTCCAGCTTTACTGGCAGAGATAAACCTTGAGACAAATGTATAAAGATTCTAAGAAAAGTAAAAACATTCAAGATTCAAATAATAATTTACATGTTATATGTAAATAATTATGTACAATTAATGACTAATTTAGCAGTGTTTATCACCATATATCTACTGCCTAACTAATTAAGTGTTTTTTTAAAAAAAAACAACAACATTTTGACATACATTGTATATCTGGTAATTTAACTGGATTGTAAGTGCCGATTGTGTAAATAACTTTCTTGGTCTCTTGACAATATGTAACTTTTAAATCTAATTTCAAAATCTTTATGAAAATTAGCATGAATTTGGAGGCATGCTGCTTTAACTGTCCAATACTATATGACAATGCACCAAAAAACTTATATCTTTTTTCTAATTATTTGTATTACTCAAAACGATATATATTATTTTATCTAATATATAACCTTATTTTAAATGTACCTTAAAACCGTAATTGTTTTTCTATTACAGGAGAAGCTGATTCGTATTTTAGGACATGAAAAGTTCGGACTGTGTGGCGTAGAGCTCTTACATTACAAGAACTTTACGTACAATCTTAAACACATGAAAAAATAAACAATAATGGAAGAACAGTAGGTGACATTACATGTGAACTTTACATAATTTATAATCTTAAACACATGAAAAATAAACAATGATGGAAGAACAGTATGTGAAATTACATGTGAACTTTACATGCAATCGTAAAAACATGAAAAAATAAACAATAACAGAGTATCATGTCATCATCACCTTAGTACAGTAATGAATTAAGTTCTTCTAGATTTAATAGGAGTTAATCAGTTATTGCACACAAAAGACAATGTGTAGCATCCCCTTTTTACATTATATACATACATTGAAAAGCACCATTTATTTTACCCATTTTCATAATTATATAGAGACACTACAGTGACAGCAAATACTTGATGAAAATGCTCATATAGTCATGGGTATAAAATAATTATATCAACTATGGTTAAAGAAGAATTTTACCAATTTTTTATTATGCTTATTGTGTTATTGAAAAATAATATACATAATATTTGTGGTTTCTTACTGTGATGTAGGTTTCTAATCTTTTTATTTTGAACAATATACATCTGTGATTTATTACCTTTACATAATATACAGCATTATACATGTAAATATAACCTTTTATTATATACTTATAAATGAAATATTGAGAAATATTGATGAAATAAAATGCGTATTTTCATTTTCCGTATTTTCACTGTAAAAATTTATTTTTCACTGCAGTGAAACATATTTTCCGTATTTTCACTGGTGTCTTGCAGGACTACTTTCTTTTAAATTCTACCAGTACACAAAATTTAAGGGAAAGTTTTTCAAATTTTATCGCAAAAAAGAGAAAAATGTACATAATAAACAGAAAATTCAAGTTTTTTCTATAAATACATGATTTATTTTCATCTTGTGGCATGAAAATTACCATATTTCACTCGTGGCTACCGCCACTCATGAAATATTTATTTTCATACCACTCGATGAAAATAAATCATGTATTTATAGAAAAAACTTGAATATCCTCTATATACATGTATCATAGGTTATAAAGAATATTTTTATAAAGAATTTTTTGACAGGTTACATGTTCCTGTAATTATGATTTGAAGCTTATATAGTCTAAACAACTTTGTGAGGGTTATATGGCAAACAAGCATTTATGCATGACTATTTAACCTGTCAGAAATCTTAATAATGATTTCACAATGATACAGCAATTTTGTTGATGAAAATGATATGTTCTGCAATAATTGACAGCTATATATATATATATATATATATATATATATATATATAGATTATATAAAAGTCACAAATATCCAATGAAAAAAGACATTACAATTATGCACTTACTGTTTTAATATTAAAGTGACTTATTAGATCTTTTTTCACTGAAGAAAACACACTTTGTTAAGCACCAAAACATAAATACTTTTTTGAAAAAGAAAAAAAAAGACGTTTTTTCACTTCATTGAAATTCACATAATAGTAATAATATGATAGAAATTGCATGTACCATATGACATTCAGGACTCTAATGACTAGCATATTCATATATTAAAAACCTATCACAGCTATAGTGTGTACATGTACAAAATCTTAACCTAGTGGCCAACAGGTCAACATCATAATCCAAAGATCCTATGTTTGAACCCCTAGTGAGTAGTCGGGTCAGGATACTTTCTCAACGTATAATATGATATCACTATTTGTTTTTTTTCCCCAGAATACAGACTTAAGGGCAGTTTATAAAAGCTCCAAGTTTACTTTCATAATTTGGCTAAAATAGATAGGTCTAAGCTAATGTCTTTCAGACACCCTTTAGTTCCAAATTTCAAATACTTGAATGTAAAAAATGTTTCTTCTGTATCTAGTATCGCCAACATTTATATTAATTTTTTGACACTGCAGTCACTAATTGTGTTCGTGCAATTGCTGTCTATTGCAATATAATGCTCTTTACATGTATATAAAGTACTCCAACATTTTGATTATTTGTGTACACTTTTTGTCTCCTACAGATATCTTTCAGTCTATTCAATGAATCTACATCACCTTTATTAGATGTTACATGTTTGTAAAATACATATCACTATATCATAATTATATAGACTCAACTTTTTTCTCTTCATTAACCCCACTGAGTCGCTATGCAGTTCAGGAAACAGGAAACCATTCTTCAGTGACACATAGTAATTCCTCTCCTTCAAAATGCTCAATGCCTTTTATGTTTCACAAATTCTTACGAACTTCTTTTTGATATAATTATGGGGAGAGATCCCTAATCTCTTGTACTATCAACTTATAGATTCTTGCTTGATCTTTTGTAGATGTGCAATTTCTCTTTTTAAACTGAAATTAAAAAAAAAAATAAGAAAAAAATGTATTTTGTCTTGCTTTAACACTAGTTTATTACAATGTATGAGAAATCTTGCACAGGCTGCTGGTACAGCCTGGAAAATATAGCTCAAGGCCAGGGTTACAATTTATGTTAGAAACAAGGCTACTCGACAGTTACTCAACAGCTAGATATTCCAGTCTGGTGTTTCATTCTTTTTTCTTGCATATTACATATTAATCATATTTCGGAAAGAAATTACATTTAGCACCTTTTTCTTATAGTATTATATGAGTTTACAACCTTCATTCATTACATAAAAATGATATCATCCTAAGAACGCAGCTCATTTATAAAAGGTGCATGGCAACCACATCATTTAAAGCACATGACTTTTCTTACATAGGGAGGTGCAGGACAGGTTTATCTAGCACCAGTGTAGACAGGAGAAACTCATGTCTGATATGCAAGAAAAATCTTTTCTATTACTCTCAACAGGGTGAAAAAAGGCAATGGATCATTACTTTTAGATCATTAGGACTGCATGGAAGGGAAAGTGGGTAATGGGGGTCGGTAAGGGGTCATGAAAATTACCAAACTCCTCACAGTGATTACCTCCCTTGGCAGAATTGTAATCACTGCCTTCAAAGACGTCACATGACGATGAAAGTCACATGACGTAACGTCGAAATTCAAATGTAAATATCGACCGTTACATAGAAAATCTAACGTCATTTTTCTCTTTCTGTTTTATTTTTAACTTTTAGTGCCTATAGTTTATCAAAAAATTATCAAAAGTATACAAAATAACGAAAAATAAATTCAAAAGCTAAAAAATATAAAATATCAAAATATTGTCTCCGTAGAAAATATTCTCAAATTTTTTAAAATTATTTCTAAATATTCACATTATTCATTTATTTATCAATAAACATTGTTTAATCAATGAGAAAAAACTTAACTGATAGATAAAAGCAGTAAATAAAACAATTTTTGAAAAAATATAGTATATCAGAAATTCTGATATATTGGGACCTTGATGGCAGAGATCTACGCAGAAGAATTAAGGGGAGATCACTGTGTGGAGATTGGAAAATTACAAGTATGTGACTAGAGACTCCATTACCTCATCTAGAAAACCATTACAATGCAAAACACACTAACTATGCAATCCTGTAACCATGGTAACTACATCTTGAATTATTATCTATCTTGTGTTGCTTAATTAATAAAGTACAAACCAATTATATAACATAAGACGTGATGAAGGTAAGTGTGACAGGGACTCCACTGGGGTTTAAAAGCCTAAAAACATAACATTTGAATTTCTTACATAAATGAGCTGGGGCATTTTAAACAAAAATATATGCAAAGATAGTTAAGAAATATACTTTGGAATAAATTGAAAATCGTATTTTTATGCCTTTCTTAGCCAGATTTGCACAAAGATTAGTGGTCTAAACCTACATCAAATGGTACATTTATCTGGAAAAAATATTTTCAGTCCCATCATGTCAAAAAACCTCAGTGGAGTCTCCTTAAAGTAAAAATTATTTAGAAAGAATCAAGTTTGCTCTGTCTGCAAAATGGCGAACGAGTAAGAGTTATGCCTATGAAGTTGAAGTCAAAGTTGCTGCCAGATATAGTTTACTGTGATGATTCAAATTCAAATAAAAACACTGTAAAAACTCATGACAAACACCCTCTTACACTAATTTTGTAAATTATGTCAGAACTTTCCTGTTTGACTGATAAAACTATAATAGTAAATGGATATATTGGGGATGGGGGTGTTTTTATAATAGAAACAATTTTTATTAATGATGCATGCCTTTGATAAATATTCACCCACCTTATATGATGCAACAGACTTGTTTTATGTTGAGTTTATAATTCATCTAATATAGCCGAGTTATGGGACTTCATTATCAAAATAGCAAATATAAGCAATATAAACAGCTAACAGTATTATGGTCTGAATGATCAGAGATGCAGGCTGTTCTGGCTAGTACAGGAAATTTGTTATCATTCGAAACATCTTTTGTTCAGAATTCAGCCACACAGGCTTGGTTAATGATCATACTGTGATTTTCTAGAATAACTGATGTATGGAACTTCAGGTGTCCCTCTGTGCAATACATGCATTTCACGCGCAAACAGGCACCTAGGTAGAACCACAAATTGTCTGGATGCTACACGGATAACTACCTCTCAGACAGGATTCAAACACACAGTAGTAAGAGGCAAATGAGTCAAAGTCAGCAGTCTGACATATTGACCCAAAGCAAGCATTCAAAGTTAAAATTTACCTTGCAATTTTCTCCTGACATGTAACCTCTACCTCATGTTTAGTCAGTCTAGCCAGCTCAGTCATTGTGTACTGCAATGTAAAACCAAATGATCATAACTTATTATATCTACATGTTTGTATCTTGTCTTTTCATTTTTTTTCCTTCTAGACTTTTTTAATGTAACAAGCATTATCAGTGATTTCATAATATGAATCTGTAGTCATTGTTAGTTATAAATCCAATTTCATCACTCCTTACAGTAATACTTAAGACATAACATTTGTATTTCTCCAATTAAAAATATTGCATTTTGGGGTACTTAAAGCTAATAAGTGAAATATAATAATTTCACTTCTTCTATTGTGTCTGGCACATACATATCAACCCTAGAGATCAACTTTCCCCCCCTCCAGTTGAATTTCAATTTACATAAGCCAGTGCTAATTAAGTCACAAGAACAATGGCAAGTTTTCAGCTTTACTGGCTAAAATATTCTATGAGCACTTACATTATAATAAGTATAGGCATGTAGCTGGGTAGAGCTACTGACCTTCTACAAGCTGGGTGTAACTTAAAATGTGATGGACAAATACAATACATGTGAACGTTTTTCGATGATCAAGTGTGATATTTTTCTTCAAAAAGAGGGAGATTTTAGAATTTGCAATAAACAAAGAAGAAAGTTCTGAAATCAAAAATAGGGAGATTTCTTTAATTTGTGAAAATACCCCTTATTTGAAGAAAAATCTTTGAAAATATGGCTGCAGAAAGTGGGAGAATCCCGTTAAAAGTGGGAGAGTTCACATGTATGAAATACAGCAACATCTATTATACTTTGCCATGGAGACATACATCTCCATGAATGTTGAATGTTGTGTTAACAAGAGCGATCAGTAATCACATGTGTCGCCTCATAATGGCTAATTTCATGTTGGGACAAATTTTGTGACAGACAGACAGACAGACGAACAGTGCACAACTACACTTGGTACTAATCATTCCTGTTAAGTTTGGATGAAATTGCACCAGTTGTTTATGAGGAGTAGTCCGGACAAGCTTTTGTGTATCTGGCAACACACAGCAAAAAACACATTTTTATCAAAGGGCCGTAACTCGGCCAAAAATCATTCAACCAGAAAACCCGTGCAATATGCGCAAGAACTTGAGCTACAGATCAATCCTGTAAAGTTTCATTGAAATTGCATTAGTGGTATAAGAGAACTAGTCCGGACAAACTTTAAAATTAAAAATTATTAAAGGGCAATAACTCTGACAAAAATCATTGAACCGGAAAATGCTGACAATATGCACAACTAGACTAGGTATTGATCATTCCTGTAAAGTTTAGATGAAATTGCACCAGTAGTTTATGAGGAGTAGTCCGGACAAGTTTTGTGACGGACGGACTGACAGACAGACGACGGAGAAGTGATCCCTATATGTCGCCACTACTCCGTAGAGGCGACACAAAAATGAACAGGACAATATGTGTCAAAATTTACAAAATTTTCAATATATTAGTAAATTGTTACTCGTGTTGAAGATGACAAAAATTATTTTCCCTTTACAAAATGTCAACTGCCTGTATGTTGACAATAAAATTTCAAGTTTTCCTTCATTAATTATCATATTTCCTTCACAAATTATTATGTTTCCTTCACAAAATATATCAATCCTCTCACAAAATATTATATTTCCTTCACAAAAGATCACGTTTCCTTCACAAAATATCAAATTTCCTTTAAAAAGTATTATGTTTCATTCACAAAATATCAAAACTTTTACACAAAATAATAATTTTCCTTTATAAAGTATTATATTTCATATACAAAATAGCAAATTTCCTTCACAGGCTAATGAATTTCCATATCAAAATATGATATTTTCTTTACCTGTACATTACTAGCCTGTCTCCTAAAGTAGCAGTTACCCTCTTCATCATCATGTATGGGATGTAAATTAACCATGGTTCCACATCCATCGTCATGGTTTAATGGATCATCTGAGTCCCATGGCTTTACTTTAATTTCAATCACATAATCTTGTAGCATAATACCCTACAATATATAGTGGATGTTAAATGAGTGCAGGTTCAATACTGAATTTAATGAAAAAGTTTAACAAAATAATATTAATTTATTAACAAGTTCAATAAAGTTAGTAATGAATCTACATGAATATAATATTCTATTTATCCTATATCCAAAAATAAGACTGTTTACAGTAAAAATATAACACATTTTCATTGATGTGTATATAAAGTAACACTACCATTTAGTGCAACAGAAGCCCATAGAGCAATAATTGCAATGTAACTTTCTTGCAAACTGTAAAATTATTTACACTTGGAACGACTTTCACTAGTTCTGTTTTAGTTTTACAATAATAAAAAGTCAAATGATTCAGTCAGGAATTTTGAGCTGTGGCTTTTTGACCAACAAGCTGTAAACAAAGATGCCCCTAAAAAAACTTTTTTCAAGCATTCAAGTAAACGTATCAATCACTGACAATCAACAAGACTTAGTAAAACATAAGGTCAGAAATAAGTTCAAAGGGAAATAAATCTGAAAATATCGATGCTAGAGTTATGAACCTTGTCGCATAAGATATGGTTGATGATAAGAAACATATATTTGAAGTATGAAATTGATCCCTTAAGAAATAAAGAAGTTACAGTAAAAAATAATATTTTTTTAAGGAAAATTCTAAGTTCTAAGGGAGATAAATCTAAAAATATTGGTGCTAGAGTTATGAACCTTGACGCATAAGATGTGGTTGATGATAAGGAACATATGTTTGAAGTATGAAGCTGATCCCTTACGAAATAAAGCAGTTACAGTAACAATAATATTTTTTAAGGAAAATTCTAATTTCAAGGGGAGATAAATCTAAAAATGTTGTTGCTAGAGTTATAACCCTTATCACATAAGATGTGGTTGATGATAAGGAACATATACTTGAAGTATGAAGTTGATCCCTAAAGAAATAAAGAAGTTACAGTAAAAAATAATATTTTTAAGGAACATATATTTGAAGATTGGAGTTGGTACCCAGAGCTGCATTACTGGTACTGGTACTGGTACTGCAGTACGTACTGCAGCAATTTTGCAAGTACTGGTACTGATACTGAATTACTCTTACAAAATTTTGCTACTACTGGTACTGGTACTGCATTACTGTCTTAAAAAGTGGTACTGCTACTGCATTACCCAGTACTTTTGGTTTTGATAAAAATTAAAAATAACATCAATTTTTTCTCATAAAATAAAGCTGTAAAATACATTAACTATATTTTATTTTTGTGAAAAAGTAAGTTATCAAATCTAAAGATAATTTGCTGCAATATTCCTTCAAATGTTAACATAGTATTCATCATAAAAAGCACCAAAGACTTTAAGTAAAAATTAAATTAAAATAAACAGACTCAATAACTCTTTTACCCTAAAATATCCTTATTAAAATTATTTTATTACTTTGTATTTACTAGTAAATAAGCAAAATAAACACTAATTAACTTCTTCTATTCTAAAAAATCCCATTTTTCAAGTGAAAAAAGTGATATTGTTAGCACCATAAAAAGTTGTTATTTACTTTGGTTTAAATTGAACAGAGGTGTGAAGGTGTGAAAGGCAGCAAAAGACTGTTGTGTTTTACATGAAAGATGTTTGCATTGCATTTATACAGTTGACTGGTTACTAAACAATTAGATATGACATGGAATATATGTTGTAAATATTTTTTTGTAAAAAGTATGTTAAAACTATAAAGTTGTAATATATTATGTTAACTTTAAAAGCCTCCAGATTCATCCTAATTTTCATGAAAATTTTGAAAATGTATTTAAAGGTAAAATTTTGTTAAATGAACAAAGAAAGTACTTGACACATTACAATCGGCACTTAAAAATCCACGAACATTACCAAAAAAAGGTCAAAACATGCATAAATAGCCCCCACTGCGTTAGTAACGCAGTAGAAATATGGTGATAAATACTACAAAATACAGTCATTAATTGCACATAAGATATAATTTATCACTTGAATCTTTAATTTGTTTACTAATCCCGTCCCTAGATTTGCCACTACTTGCCAGCTATTTCCACTGAAAAGGGTGGCATTAAGTGTAAAAAGGGTGAAATTAACTGGAAAATGACAAAATTCCACTCTTTTTCCACTGTAGTGGCAAAATTACCACTAAACGCCACTATCCTTTAGTGGCATTTAGGTGGCACTGAGTGGAAATTTGAACATAGACTTTTTTCATGGTGGCAAAAAGGTGGAAATTGGTGAAAAATCAAACTTAGTTTATTTTGAAGGTGGAAAATGAGTGGCTTTTAGTGGAAAAGTGAAACTCTAACTATTTTCTGGGTGGCAAATTAGTGGAAAAAAACTTAGAAAATTTTGTGAATAACTTTTAGTCGAAAAGGGAAAGGGAAAACTGAGAAATGATTGTGCATTGCTGCTTTGCAGGGTTTATAAGATTTATTTAAATTAAAGCTCCAAACTGAAATAAATCTGTTTCTAGTTTTTTATCAAAGCATAAAGTGAACTTTTTATCAAAAATAGAATAAATTAAAGTTGAACAGTTTGAAAATTTATCAGAAACTTGTATTTCTTAAAAATCTTTTATATGCAATACCTAAGAATGCCATGAACACAATTCTGATACAAAGTCACTGCCCATAATGGTATGATAATTCCAGCTGTAAGGTAGCAGGAAAAGACACTGAAATTGGACGTAAAATCACTTTTCCAGGCTTAAAACACACATAATTAATTAAGAGCAAGAAAAATTAGAAAAGTTTGGGGTTACTTTAATTTCCATTTTTTCTTTCCTTTTTTCAGTACTTTTCTTTAGGGATGTAAAATTTGACTTAAAGTCAAAAATGCCTATGTTCCATTCTATGCTTGTAAAATAAAATTACGACTGTAAAAGTGTACTTAGCTTTTTTAGTTGCAATCTGTACATTAAATAGTTGAAATGTTCTTCCATGCCCAAAAATGCATTTTTCTGCATAAAATTTGTAGTTAAAATCTGCTATATAAAGTTGAATAAAGTTTGACTTTGGTCTTTTCTTCTAATTAAAATTGGTCTCTTTACTATTATTTTAAACTGATATCTGGTGAGAACTAACACTTTTCATGTAATGCTTACAATAATTAAAGTGAAAAATGCAAAGGGCAATAACTCCAAAAGTATGCAAAATAGTTATGTTACTTAAGCACAGCACATTACTCACAAAGATCTATATCTGTGAAGTTTCAAATTAATATCTCCAATACTTTTTAAGCTTCATGATCAGAACAAAAATTAAGCATGGAGAAGTACAAAATGGCAATAAACCCCAAATCATGCAATAAAGAGTTATGGTTCCTAGGCCTTGTACTTCTCATCTATGAGATTTAATTATATGTGGAGTTTAAAATTATTGTATCTAACATTTTTTGTACTATGCTTTGCAGATTAAAAGTTAAAAAGGGCAATAACTCCATAACTTTGCAGGAGAGAGTTATGTATTTTAAAGAAGGAAAAACATGAATCAAACTTGTTAAAAATAATATTTAAATGCTATTTAATAAATATACATAAAAAATAGATCAGCCTTCAAGATAATGAAGCACTGTGCTTGCTTATTATTCATACACAATATAGTATGCCTTTCAGAGGCTTTAAATATATTGTTAAAATAATTGTGTGAAAAGTAAATAGCTAATAATTTCTGATAATTTCTTATTATCAGGATAAATAAATACTAGCTAGTAAATACTGCATCCTCTAAGATTTAACAACAAGGCATACAACACAGATCTGATAAATCTACTGCCCTCTTATCTAGTAATCTCTGCATGGGGGTTAATAGTTTACTCAAGCTGACCAGACTGTTCCATTTGATTATTTTGGGAGAGGCAACATTATAAAATGTACATGTTATATGTAGAATCTGTGTTAAAATAGCATGCTAAATTATCTTTCAAAAACTTATTTCTACTCAATCTATTTAGGTATTAGACATAGTTTATACATTCAAATGAATGTAAAAAATAAAATGATGGGTGCTATGGTTTTTGAATAATCCCTCACAGTTTAAAATTATAATGGAACTTTCCAGTTGTACGGTTGTAAAGTTTGATTTTATTCAAAGGAATTGAGGTCAGTTAAAGCTTGCAAACACAAAGGAAATGATTGGTATTATAGCAATTCTGGAGATATTATTTTGTTTAAAATGTAAGGGTGCATATTTTTGATTTCTCAAAGAATACATTAAAAGTCTTATTAGTGCGGTAAATAGAAATGAGAAGTTTTAACTGAAGATTATAACATTAGACAAGAAGATAAACAGCAGAATCATTCCAAGTCAAAGGTTTCAGGTAAGCAGCTTTTACATATAACATGCAGTTATTATTATTTTTGCAGAAACTATTAAGTTTTCTTAACAGTAAAAAATATGAAGTGGTATTGTATAAAATTATGTTTTAAATTTGTTATGTTTGTAACTTTACTAAAAAAAAAAAGCTGAATTTACATATAAAGAATGTTGGAATGTAAAGAATGTAGGAAGATCTTCTACATTTCATAAATACAGTATGTTAGAAATTTTAAGTTTGAGAATGATAATTATAGAAATTAATCAGTAAGTACAATATCATTAATATGTACAATGTTACATCAATCAAACTATAGATAACCAGGTACCTATTACTACAACTTTCATGCTATAAACATATTTCCTTGTGTGTCACATGTGAAGCAGACCAACAGTAACTGTTTTATTAGTAAGCTTCATTCCTTCATTGTTGTAATTCAGCTTTCATAGTGCAGTAGATATATAACCATAACTAGACAGTCTAGAGTAACAAGCTGTTAAAATGACAGTTCATAACAGAAACAGCATTAAATAAGAATTATTCTTTTGCAGACACAAAGCAATGAGGAGCAGCCTGGAGCAACACACTTGTTCTTCAGTGGCTTTACAAAGGTATTTTGTTAATTCAAAGTTATTTAAGAATTGATAGGAAAGTGTCACAGCACCCAATAAGACACTTTTCAGTACTAAATAAATACAGTAGAACTTCCATGAGTCGAACTTCGATTAGTCGATTTTCTCGATGTGTCGAAGTAAAATGAAAGTCCCGATTTTTTCCCTTATATATTCCTTATAAAAAGCTATTTATGAGTCGAGATTTTATGTGTCGAGTTTTTCGATGTGTCGAAGTGTTTTCGTGGTCCGTATAGAATAAATCTAGTACAATTTACAACAAATAAGTCAAAGTTCTTTTGTTATTTTGACACTTTCGATCTTGAGACATTTTCACACCTTTTCTGGCCGCGAAGACGATTTTCGATCAACTTCAGTGACATGTGTTAATTACACAGCCGAGTGTTCAAACAGCCTTTGTATGCGTTTAAATGTGTGAAAAAATGCTTTAATCATTTCTGTTTTAATTGCGGTAGCGGTTTTTTAAAGTACATGTGAACAGTAAGAACTATCATTTGAGTACTTCCGTGACCCGGTGTCGCGTGATAATCACACGCGAAATATTTACTATAAGCTGGTTAAGTTATTGCCCTTTCGTATTGTTACGCCTTTTGTAACTTCATTGTATACGTCAACAGGGAGTCCAAATCATTAGCCGTGAAAAGTTACTTAACATGTCATATTTATCATTGTATAATGTAAAATATCAGATTAATGAATGAAAGAAAAACATGAAATAGGTTACGTTATAGATCTTATAATTAGGGCTAGTCACGGGTTGAAATTTTGTCATGAAATTCAGACCGATTCATGAGTCGAAGTCCCGATGTGTCGAAGTTTTTACGCAAGTCCCTCCAACTTCGACTTACCGAAGTTCTACTGTATAGCTATTATGCACTATTTACAAACCTACTAGTTTTACAAATTTTAGAGTTTTGTACACCTAAGTTTGAAAATTTTGTCAAATATTTATCCTGATGAAGGTTCGTTAAGAACTGAAACTGGAAGATTATTAAATTACTTAACCTGCACTGATGTTGATGTGTTGTATTTCTTTATTTCTTTCTTATTTTAAAATTTTGGAGTTGTATACATATACCGTCTTTACTTATTGGATATTGATAATTATATTTTAGGACCAAGTGATGGCAGAACTGAGGCACAATGCCTCAAATGAGAAAGGTACAACAAGGCTCTTCAGAATGCAATTCAATATAGAGGAGATTAAAGGCAGCTCATTGTTTGGTATGAGAAAATTGGAACAGAGAGTCCGATGTCAGACCTGCTTGTGCAGACAAGGCAAAACTTAAGTTCTTGAAAGGTAACTAATGAACTGAATGAAAATATCATTTTTGATTCTGCGTATATTTTCTGCCTTGGAGTATTAATAAATAAGAAAAGTTTGATTCTTCCATGTCTGAAATGCTGTTTTGTTAAGGTTTTAATCATATCTATGCACTCAACTTGAATATAGAAATATCCAATAGTCATGTAAAAAATTAATGTAAGCTAATGTTTTTCATTATTGTAACACTTATTCATAATATTTTTTTGTTTTAGACTGTCCGCTGGAAAAGTGGCTGACAACCCAAAAGACTGAAATCCATAGGGTGATTCTGCACCTCTTCAAATATCCAGGAATAGAAAGATAAACTGAAGATAATAAATGGACTAATGTGTTTCTATTTTTTCAGACAATTATTTCATATGGAGACATTAAAAAGGTTTATTTTTAAAATTTGTTTGTTTCTCTTTTAGGGTACAGGGTGACTTTTAAGCAGTTTCCACTTATTGCCACCCACAAGGTGGAAAATTTCTAAAAGGGTGAAAATAGGTGGCATTTAGTGGAAACTGAATTTGCCGCTTTGTGGTGGAAAAATGGTGAAAAAGTGTCTAAATACTCCACCAACTTTCCACCCTATTGGTGACAAAAGGTGGAAATAAGTGGCATTTGGTGGAAAATGAGTTTGCCACTCAATGGTGGCATAATGGTGGAAATTCGTCTAAATACTCCACCATCTTTCCACCATGATGGTGGCAATTAGTGGAAACAAGTGGCATGTAGTGGAAAATGAGTTTGCCACCCTAAGGTGGCATAATGGTGAAAGTTTGTCTAAATACTCCACCAACTTTCCACTCATTGGTGGCATTAAGTGTAAAAAAGGTGGAATTAGCTGGAAAATTATATACCATCAGTCCTGCTCAAATTTTTCACCATTTTCATGATTTGGGTGGCGTTTTGGTGGCATTATTGGTGGAAAATTGTCTAAATACTCCACCATTGAAAAGGGTGGCATTTAAGTGGCAAATCTAGGGACGGGATTTTCTCAAAGTTTTAGTAATTTATTTCCAAGTTTAATTTTCTTGAAATAACTTGGGTCATCTGGAGGCATGCAGCTTTTAAGTAAATAAAGATTTTATTTCTTTGCTGAATAATATTTGCAATTATTTGTTTGACACTGTATTTATTCAAACTTTGATGAATATATAAAAGTAATGGTACTGATACTTAATTACTTCACCAAAAAAAGTACTGGTACTGCAGTACTGAGCTAAAATCTAGTACTGGTACTGGTAATGGTACTGAATAATTTGCCAAGTACTGGTACTGGTACTTAAGTACTACACCCTTAGTACTGATGCAGCTCTGTTGGTACCATAAGAAATGAAAAAGTTATAATGAAAAATATTTTACTGCATCAAAACCTTAATCTAAAATCTGGACGGGGACGCTGATGCCAGGGCGAGTCGGACAGCTCTCCATATACTTTGTATAGTCGAGCTAAAAACTGGACAAACAACTGCATATTAATATGCCTTATCACAAAGTTATTATTTGGAAAGGTATCAGTGAAAATTACCGCATTATATTGCATAACAGCATCTCTATCACACCAACAATACTTGTGACCTTGTAGGTCATGTGCACGACCAGCTAATTCTGAATCAAATCCATCATCCAACCTGCAAATAAAGTGAATTATACTCTCCATTAGACTAGTCGTAAATAAGATGAAGTAACAAATGTTCAATTTATCCTTTAGTATAACTTTTAATGTTATTCTATTTAAGCTTAACTGCAAAAAAATTTTAACTTTATATTGAAAGCACTCTCAAGTCCACTTCCTGGAACTTACTGGTTCTGGTGTGTGTTAGCTTTAGGTTTTAAGTCGCACCAACACTATATAGGTCATATGGCAACTTTTAGCTTTACTGGTAGAGGAAGACAGGGAAGTACCCATTCATGCATTATTTCGGGCATGAGCAGGCATCTGAATAAAACAATCAACATTCTGTAAGCTAGATGGAGAGCTTACTCACAAGACAGGGTCCCAAGCCTCCAGTGAGATTCAAATCCACAGCAGTGAGGGGCAAGTGGTTTGAAGTCAACAACCATAATCACTCTCCCAGAAACAATGATCCCTGACATGAGAGTTAGGCATCGTAGCCACATGGTCACCATTCAGCTTGTTAACCCTTTGAAAGAAGAATTTCAATGTTCTACTAATAGAATTTTTCAAACTAATTTATCATAACCATATGGATAATTAGGTCACAAAATATCTTCACAAACTTGTCTGATATTGCTTAAAAATAGGTTATTCTAAATGTACATGTTTATTTACATATAATCAGTGATTTTTTTACAGCCTATGGCTTCCTGAATAGGGAAATATAGCATGATAAATCAGAACTAATAATGTGTCCATAGGACACGGGTGCCCCCCACCGCGCCACTGTTCTGTCAATCTTTTTACTAAGTCAAGGGAAACAACTCTACAAATACTGGATAAATACACAAGCGAAACCCCAGGTGCAAATCTAAATATGCTGAGCAACCTGCCCATAAGGTTTAATGACTATGTCAAATCCTTTTTGAGTAACTTGCGACACAAGTTGAAAATTGCAAAAATTTTCTAAGTGAAGGGCAATAACTCTAAAAATACTAAATAAATCCAGACAAAAATACCTGGTGCACAACTGCACATGCTGATCAATATTCCTGTAAAGTGACATGACTCTAGGTCAAATACTTTTTGAGTTACGTGCGACACATGTTGAAAATTGCAAAATTTTACTAAGTCAAGGGCAATAACTCTGAAAATACTAAAAATATCCAGATGAAAATACCCAGGTGCACAACTACACATGCTGATCAACATTCCTGTAAAGTTTCATGACTCTAGGTCAAATACTTTTTGAGTTACGTCGACACAAGTTGAAAATTGCAAAATTTTACTAAGTCAAGGGCAATAACTCTAAAAATACTAAAAATATCCAGACAAAAATACCCAGGTGCACAAGTACACATGCTGATCAACATTCCTGTAAAGTTTCATGACTCTAGGTCAAATACTTTTTGAGTTACATGCGGCACAAGTTGAAAATTGCAAAATTTTACTAAGTCAAGGGCAATTACTCTGAAAATACTAAAAATATCCAGACGAAAATACTCAGGTGCACAACAACACATGCTGATCAACATTCCTGTAAAGTTTCATGACCTAGGTCAAACACTTTTTGAGTTACATGCGACACAAGTTGAAAATTGCAAAATTTTACTACATGTAAGTCAAGGGCAATAACTCTGAAAATACTTTATCCAGACGAAAATACCTAGGTGCACAACTACACATGCTGATCAACATTCCTGTAAAGTTTCATGACTCTAGGTCAAATACTTTTTGAGTTACGTCCGACACAAAAGTGAACGGACGGACGGACGGACAAGGGTAAATCTAAATGCCCGCCACTAACGTGGGGGCACAAAAAGAAGGAAAACCTGAAATCAAAATCCAACAACTGAGAATTGAAATTTCCCACCAATTTCATAAAAGTTTCAATTTCAATTCAATTAAACATACATGGTACATAGCAGAGGCTATCCATAGGGACAGCTTTCTGTCTTTCAGTCAATTAAATACATCAACTAGCTGATATAAGTCAGCTGCTGTTTAGTCATGGTTCTGATAAAGTGATAAAGAATGTGCACAGGGCATTTCAAGGGAAAATATAGCTTCTTTTTTAGAGGAAAATATACCTATTTTGGGCTAAAGGAAACCTTAATTCTGGTGTAAAATACAGGGGAAAAAATCACTGATCATACAACAAATTGCAGGTAGGTGTATGACTTTACCCTTTAGAAGTGCTTGTGTTGCTGTCCTTGTCACTTTCGTAAACCGGGACAAACTTGATGGAGTATCTATGATTTTTCACAGGTGGTATATATCTACTTAATACATCATTCACTGCATCAATCACATGCATTTTCTACAATTGAAATGTTATAAATTCACTACTGTAAAATTGGATATTTCCGCTTGTCGAAAGGTTTAAATTTAAAATTCCAGACATTTTGTGTGAGGAAATATTAACGCATCATGCAAGAGTAGAATTTAATGACAGGATGGTTGATATTTACGCTAGAGAAGATTTAAGCGATTTTCATCAATTTGTGAAATTCGCCAATATTTCCATGTCACTACCTTAACCCCTTATACAGTACTGGAAACAGCTGTCCTTTCAATAAAACAAGATTGCATTTGAGAAAAATGCTATGCCACCGCATTAATACAACACTAAATAGTAGTGTAGGAACAGATTTTTTTGTTTCTTTACAATTTTGAAGACTGTCATAAAGCATAGATCTCTGACCTATCTTATTCTTATTATCAGATAAGTGGTTAAATCTAATGTTAACTCAATAAAAGATCAGAGTAGGAATATATCAATGCACTCGAGTCTAGTGAATTTGGTGGTGAAATATGATAAACAAGATCAACAAGGAAAGGCGGCGTTCAATGAACGCAACCCCCATATGACCCAGCAGCAAGAACCAATGGCAAGGAGCCCAGGCGGACCCCAGGTGAAGCCTATTTCACACAGCCTAAATTTCATGACTACATCAAAAGAACAACACAGTAAGACACTTTGTCAAAATCTAGGTCAGCTGAAATCAAAGTTCACTTTACATCTTAATCTGTGCACAGGGTTCAAATTTCATAGCTGTACATCAAAGGACAAGAAAGTAGGTCACATCAACAAAATCTAGGTCACCTGATATCAAAGTTCAATTTTACAACTAAAACTGTGCACATGGTCAAAATTTCATAGCTGTACATTAAAGGACAAGAAAGTAGGTCACTGTCCCCTTGGGCAAGGCAAAATTTTGGACCCAAGGGTTTAATTCAAAACAATCTTGATACAGGTCCACCAAACAACATTTCAAGTCAAATATCTAAGCTGTAGCTTTCTCCCATTCAGAAAACATTTGTTTTATTTTCTGTTTTTACTATGTGTACATAATGAGAATCACTGCCCCCGGGCAGGGCCAATTTTGACACCAGGGGAAAAATTTGAACAACTTTGGTAGAGGACCTATAGATGATATTATATAGCAAACATCAAAGCTCTATCCCTTGTTCCTTCAGACAAAAATATTTTTTTTATTTTTTTACTATGTGTACATAGTGAAAATCAATGACCCCTGGGGGTGGGGCCAATTTTGACCCCAGGGCTATAATTTGTACAATCTTGCTAGAGGTTCCTTACACAACGTTTCATGCAAAATATCTTAACTCTAGCCTTTGTAAATTGAGAGAAAATGATTTTTTAAATTTTTTTACTATATACATATAAGGAAAACCTATGGCCCCCGGGGCGGGGCTAATTTTGACACTAGAAGCAAAATTTGAACAACTTTGGTAGAGTTCCTATAGATGATATCATTTAACAAATATTAAAGCTCTAAGCCTTGTACCTTCAGACAATAAGATTTTTTACTATATATATATAATTATGTTAAAAATCAATGACCCCTGGGGCGGGGCTATTTTGACACCAGGGCTATAATTCAACAACAATCTTGCTTGAAGTTCACTTCACAATGTTTCATGCAAAATATCTAACCTCTAGCATTTGTCAATTGCTAGAAGAAATTTTTTAAAAGTTTTTACTATAAGTTTTTACTATATACATATAAGGAAAACCAATGACCCCCCGGGCGGGGCCGATTTTGACCCCAGGGCTATAATTTGAACAATCTTGGTAAGGGTCTACCAGACAATGCCTTATGCAAAATATCTAAGCTCTAGGCCTTTTGGGTCTTTACAAGAAGGTATTTTAAGTTTTTACTATATGTACATATAGTGAAAGTCAATGACACTCGGGGCAGGCAGATTTTGACCCCAGGGCTATAATTTGAACAATCTTGGTAAGGGTCTACCAGACAATGCCTTATGCAAAATATCTAAGCTCTAGGCCTTTACAAGAAGGTATCTTAAGTTTTTACTATATGTACATATAGTGAAAATCAATGACCCCAGGGGCAGGGGCAATTTTGACCCTAGGGCTATAATTTGAACAATCTTGGTAGAGGTCTACCAGACAATGCCTTATGCAAAATATCTAAGCTCTAGGCCTTTTGGGTCTTTACAAGAAGATATTTTAAGTTTTTACTATATGTACATATAGTGAAAATCAATGACCCCCCGGGGCCGGGCCAATTTTGACCCCAGGGCTATAATTTGAACAATCTTGGTAGAGGCCTACCAGACAATGCCTTATGCAAAATATCTAAGCTCTAGACCTTTTCAGTCTTTACAAGAAGGTATTTTGAGTTTTTACTATATGTACATATAGTGAAAATCAATGACCCCCCGGGGCGGGGCCGATTTTGACCCCAGGGCTATAATTTGAACAATCTTGGTAGAGGTCTACCAGACAATGCCTTATGCAAAATATCTAAGCTTTAGGCCTTTTGGGTCTTTACAAGAAGATTTTTTTAATTTATTCTTTTAATTCTTTTTGGTTGCCATGGCAACCAGATTTCTGCATGGAATGAAATTCTTTGAACAACTTTGGAACCCCTTCACCCAAGGATCAATCCTGCCAAGTTTGGTTGAAATTGGACTAGTGGTTTTTCACAAGAAGATTTTTTAAGTTCACTATATAATCTATATAACACACACACACACAAACAAACACACACACACACACAGGTGAATCGCTATATGCCACCGCATCGCAGATGCTGCGGTGGCATAATAAAAACAGATTACATATTTCATTATATCAATAACAATATCTACAAAACAAATGTTATAAATTTACATAATTAGCAGCTGCCATTTCAATAAAATCTTCAACCGACTTGTTCATATAATTCATAATATTTTAGGAAAATTTCAAAAATTAAATATATACTGACTGAATAGCAATTTGCAGATCATGATAATTTAAAACAAGGGCAGGGGGAGGGGGCATAGATTTTTCTTATATGTAAATAGTAAAAAAAAACCCAACATGAGCTAAAGCTTAGTTTATTTTACATGAAACATTATCTAGTAGACCTCTACTTAGTTTGTTCAAATATTAGCCCTTGGGTGAAAATTGGCCCTGCCCCAGGGGATCATAACTTTTCGTTATATAGTAAATACCTCGAAATTCTACTTCTTGGAAACTGCAAGGGCTAGGTCTTAAGATATTTTGGAACTCAACAAAAATTATTTAAATTATAGACAGCAGGTTAAAGGTTAATGAGATTGCTACATTGTACAAATCCACAGCTAAAGCAGGATTAAATTTTCAGTGTAAAAGATAACAGTCTACATTTTACCTGATAGGCAGATAGTTGCAAGCCTTTCACACAACCAGAGTCAATTACACCTAAATACACTGTTCCACCTTTACCTGTGTTTAGAAAGGCATTCAGCACTCTGAAAATATAAAATATAGAAAGGATAACATTTGTTTGTAGGATAATAGTAGAAGAAGAAAATCAAATCAAATTAGCAACATAACTTTAATATTGATATTTGATATCACAGCTAATATCTTGAACCAGTATTTATATTGCATTAAAATGAATAAAATTTAATGAAGTAACAAAAATTTCATAATTGCACAGACATCTTCACCTTAGTGCAATAACTGGTTAGAAGGACTTAACCTGTTACTGCACTAAGGTGACAACCTGTCAAAGTCTAAAAGTCAGCACACTCAACTTAGTACTTGAAAGTGGAATAAGAATAGGCCTTTGAAACCTTTATGCCAAAGTCCATAACAAGAGTTAAATGTGAAATAATCTGCAAACGGTTCTGATTCAATGTCATAAATATTTATATTTCTAAGCATGTGGCTAAGTGATTAGCATTTATGATGCTTAATATCTTAAATGGCTTCGTCAATCTTTCAATTTGGACAAAACCATTCATCATTTTGAGGGAATTTTTCAATCTATGTACATGTACTGACTGAACAGTGCAAACATGCGCAGATAGCATTGATAATGATATAGAATGTGCTGCTGATCTTGGTCTGAACTGATGGCATAGGAAGATTCAGGTCCCTGTCAGCAGTTTAATGGTTACGACTGGTGTCCTTTACCACATTTGGTCCTATTAGATACTTTGAGTTATTTTAGTTGTAGAAGATATCCAGCTGGCCAACAGAAAGTCAGTGGTTCTACTACTGTGACAGATAATGCCTGAAATTATGCCGCTCTCAATGTATTCCCAGATCTTCCTCAATCAAAAAATCTAGAAAGATGCAATATGAATTTTCATTTGTTGTGACTAACAAACTCAACCATCATGTAACTGCTACCCCTGTATCATAATTAAAGGTTTAAGACATACCTTGACACAGCCCTTCTTGAAGCCTTCTCTGTTTTACTTTCTTGTGTCCAGGGAGGTAAATCTTCCACACATATATTTCTGTGCCCTAATAACAAATAATTTAATAATTCAAAATACATCAAGCCAATCATTAAGATGTTAACAAATAAACTAGAAATAAATGAGCCGTGTCACGACAAAACCAACATAGTGTGTTTGCGACCTGCATGGATCCAGACCAGCCTGCGCATCCGCGCAGTCTGATCAGGATCCATGCTGTTCCCTATCAGTTTCTCTACTTAAAATAGGGTTGGTAAGCGAACAGCATGGATCCTGATCAGACTGCGCGGATGCGCAGGCTGGTCTGGATCCATGCTGGTCGCAAACCCATAATGTTGGTTTTGTCGTGACACAGCTCAAATATCTGTGAAAAAGCAATGCATTCTCATTGTGTACACAAATCCCCATCCTCACACTATTTCATTAATATATTACTCAAGACAACTTATATAATATAAATGTACAATCATATACCCATCTAAGATAGTCATTACTCAAAACAACTTATATAAATGTACATATACAGTTATACCCATGTAAAATATCACAATTAATGAATTATAATATTTTCACTCTCAATCTCTACGGATGATATTGATGATACATTTAAACATTTCCTGACATTTTTTTTATCAAAACCCTATTTCATAAACCTACAATGGGCAACACCTTATTTGAAATAAATGTTTGTCAATATTTTAAATATACACAAGAATGCTTATAAAATACCTTTGAACTCATGAGTGAAGTCTTCTTCAAAGGGGACAACAGTATTTCTAACATAGTACCTCTTTGACATACTGGCTATTCAACTTCAGTATTGTTATTGTACACACAAATATAATCATCAATCTGCAATAAAAATGATATAATAGTTATACACATGTATATAGTGACATTTTTTTTTTTTGGGTTGGGTTTTAAATCACACCAACACAGCATAGGTCATATGGGGAGAAGACTTCATGTGCTGTCTTCCCCGCATTATTTCAGGCACCTGAGTAGAACCACCGATGTTGGGTAGGCATGGTTCCATTTAGTATGTTCTACCCACACCAAAATACAATTAGATCAAATTGAAAATGTCCAATGAAGAGCAGCCTGATGGATCAAGCTAGAACATGGTCAGACCTCTAGAGTCATGGACATGTTCCACTCCCTTAAGCTTCATAAACCAGAACTCAGAAGTATAGATGCCTAAGGTTATCCCTTTTCTATAAGATTCACCATGGTCTGGTTGCTTATTCAAGCAGGGGTCTGACTAACGTCTGGACTTACTGGATTGGGATTAACCTTTATGTTTCTGCGTAGGAATCCTAATGTTTGGTTTGCTTTCTTGTATGTCCTGTCTATATGGGCATCCCACCTGAGATTTTCTATCATATATCCACCCCTATATATTAAGCTGAGGTAATCAATTCTAATTTGACTCCATGAAGGTAGTTTTGTGTTGGGATAGGATGTTTCCTGGATAACTTGACACTTGGAGGGGTTAAATCCATATAATATCCCACTCCAACTGCCACTTTTCTAACCAATTTAGGTCTATTTTGGAGGGTGACTGATTGGTTTGCAGATGTCAGAGCAATGTATATTGCAGTGTCGTCTGCAAACCACCTGACATGGGGATATATGTCTTGTGGGAGGTAATTTATATAGGCGAGAGACAGGAGGGGTCCTAGGGGACACCCAAGGATACTGGGATGAGGTTAGTCCTTCATTCATTGAAAGACATCGCATTTTCTTTTCTTTAAAGTTTGACGTTTATTGGAAAATGCGAAGCGGCTTTGACACATGTAAAAAATAGCTTCAAATCCCCGGTTACGTCTAAATATTTGGACTAGGATGAGGTTACAGCTGCTGCCATTTTGGCAGAAGGAAAGCTTGAGGGGACGATCATAAACTACGACAACAAAAGTAATACCTATATGTCGCCTTTTTTAAGGCAACACAACAACGATTATTGCTATATTTGAGTGTATTTGGGTATATTTGGGAAAATTATCCCGGTCATCTGGTAAGTGGTTTTAGTTCAGTTAGTTTTCAGGTTTTACAATATTTTTTTGCTAATACATTTTTTCTTTATCTGTTCGTGAATTCTGAGATAACAAAACAGTTTTGAGCCTACACATTAAATATGTAAACATCCCATTCAATATGTAAAGAAGCAAGCAAAATGACAATGGAAAGTTGCATAGGTACATTTTGTATACCTTCTATTGTTTATAACTCGAGATGCTCGAGATTTATGTAAGAATTTTATGTGTATGAAAATTTACGGGACACCGTTTCAATATTTTTGGACGAATTATTTTTATACACACTTTCTTTCCTATTATCGCTATCCATTTAGAGAAGATTTATCTACATAGTAAATGAGAAATAAAGTAATTGTATTGTTTGCCTAAATATAGATATACTCTATATTGAGTTAGGGTAACAATAAAATAATTTCGGGGACGACTTTCTTGTTTTTACGCGGAAAGTCCGATAGGGGCCGAAGGCCCCGCGAGGGCTGTAGCGCTCTTAGATAACATGTATGACGCGTATCAATTTAAATGAAATCAAATTAAAAGTAAATGAAAATTTCAGAAAAATATATATCCTATACCTAATGAGCTTTGAAAAAATCCTTAGTTAACTGGGCGCCGCCATTTTGAAATCCTTTTGAGCTAAATATAGATATCACAGCGCTTTTAATGAGCGTCTACATAATTCAGACTATTGCTAGCAGACGCATGCTTAGTAACACTTCCGGTGAAAGAATGATGTACAAAATCAGAAAATAAACATTCATTTCATTCATAAGAACTATAGTTACGATGATAAATGTAAAAAGTTATTTTTAAATCCTTTTTTAATAAATTAACACATTAAAAATAACGTAAAAACAACATATGTGATTAGAGATTAACAGAAAATGGCGGATGGGATTTTCCAAACGCCGACGCATGCGCAGTGGTCCCTCTTCCGATGATAGGTTGAACACCACCAATTTATTCGTTTCTGTTTACGGTACAAAATACCTGCATTTACTTATCAACGAATTGCATGATAGATCTGATTAACATGTACACTAAACATGTTATGCTTAAATCATAAATCATAAGAGCTTTCCGCGCCATAGGTAGCACCTAATTTAATATTATTCTGTGTGAATTGGACCACCCTTTGAAGACGGAATACTACTACAGTCAACATCCTCTATTGTATAAAACTAATACAGACAAAAAACAATTATAAAAGAAACTAACTTTTGCGTCTTGAAAAAGAATTGAAACGGAACAATTTCGTTTATAATTTATAACGGTTTAAATCAATAAATCAAGTAAAAATACGAATCCTATTTATATAAACAAACTGGGATTACCGAGGTAACTAAAATAGCTTAGATTTCCGTAATATTCTGATTCCGCAGCATTCGATTGATTCTGCAGTATGACGGAATCGCCCGAATTGTCACGATTGCAATCGGAACTTCATCGGCTATTATCATTAATCCGAAGAGTGACGAAAAAGGCCGAAAAGTTGCGATTGGCACGATTTCAGCTGGTTTCCCGTTCAATCATGCACTTACAAATGTAAGCAGAAAACCACCTAACCGGAACAAGTTTTCCATATGAAATGGCTTAGTTAACTGGGCGCCGCCATTTTGAAATCCTTTTGAGCGCTTTTAATGAGCGTCTAGATAATTCAGACTATTGCAGACGCATGCTTAGTAACACTTCCGGTGAAAGAATGATGTACAAAATCAGAAAATAAACCTGCATTTCATTGATAAGAATTATAGTAACGACTATAAATATAAAAAGTTATTCAAACATATCCTTTTTGGTAAATTAGCACATTAAAAATAACGTAAAAACAACAACTGTGATTAGAGATTAACAAAAATGGCGGACGGGATTTTCCAAACGCCGACGCATGCGCAGAGGTCCGGAGTTTTTCGGAATAGGCCGAGCGTTTCCGGTGATAGGTTGAACACCACCAATTTATACGTTTTGTTTATTCAAAAAAGATCTGGTTTACAAGTACACTAAATATGTTATGCTAAAATCATAATTCATAAGAGCTTTCCGCGCCATAGGTAGCACCTAATTTCATATTAGTTTTCAAAATGGAGTAGAAGGAAAGTTTTCACCAGAATTTTTGCAATTATTTGTAAGTTTTGCTTATAAGGAACTCAAATTATGATACCTGTATACATGTGATAGATATTTAATGAACACATTATAATCTGGCCAAGCAGTTTAAATGTCAGTACTTTTTACAGCTAGTAAGAACAGATTACTATTAATATGAAATTAGGTGCTACCTATGGCGCGGAAAGTCATGTAGATCTTCATGTAAATTATGCAGTATCAAAGAAATTATCTAACTGAATTATATTGATAATGTTCAACACTACCTCTGATCAAAATTATGTGATTTTAGAATTTTTGTTTCATTTTTAAATATTCTGGTGTTTAAAGATAATAAACCTTGAAAATTGAATTATACTTTTTTTGTTTAAGAAATGTTTCTGGTGGTTAGAGACTGACATGTCCCACACTTCAGAACATTTATCAACATTTAAAAAATTAAAGAAAAAAAAACAAACAAAAAATCATATATATATATATATATATATATATAGTAAACAAATACATGTATATATTTTGAATATTTACATTATCTAACACAATGTAATGGTAATAATGAAAAATTCCTTTCATTCTTTCCGTTTTGAAGGTGTCATTCGGTATTACATGCACCGCTTCCGTTTTCACTCGGAATACTCGACGATTATCATTTATCTGAAAAGTTGAGATTTGTTCCGTTATCGGAATACCCCGCCTATTATCATTAAGTTACATTGTAAATGGCGGCGCCCGACTAAAGTGACACTGAAAATTTCATTGATAGGTATAGAATTCTGTATATTTTTAATTGTTTTTTATTTGATTTACTTTTAAATATACACGTGTAGTCAATTTTATATGATACGCCCTCTTGAGTCAGTTGCAAATATCAGATGATTCATATGTGAAAAGAACAAAACAGAAAAAGTTTTTCACTGTTTCATGTGAAAAAAAAACTACATAGTTTAAATATATTAAAAGGTATTTATATGGCAATATTTAAAGAAAATTTGACAAACTATTAACCAATTCCAAGAACTGTGACCAATAAATGTTAAAAGTATTGATTACAAATGTGAATAATTGATGATAAAATTTAGCTTAATAATCATAAAAGAAATATGCAATATGAATTAATAACATGAATGTTTGAATTACATATATATACATGTGATTAAGTAATAAAAGCATGCTAGTAAGAAAAAAATACATTGATAATATTCAAAATGAGCAACATATGGGTAGGACTTTAAATTCTTTTTATTAGTGTCTAAATAAATAGTTGATAAACAGTTTTGTAGCTATTCATGGTGTTAAATTCTAAATCTAGACAGATTCTTTTAATCAGTGGTGAAATGTCATGATGACATTTAATGTCATGGAATATTTTGAAAAGAAACATAGAAATAATAAACATGTCATCAATTAAAAAAATCATTATGACAAAAAATGTTGAGAGGAAGATGTAGACGAAATGATGAAAATATGTTTCATGTAGATTTAGAAAAATACATGAATACTAGTAATTGAATGTATTGGTGAAAGTACATATACAATTGTAAGTTTATTTTATGTGATATTTATATTTGTGAAAGTGTATCAGTTAGTGGTTGACATACCACCCACCAAAAAATCTTCTGTTATTAGTCCCTTTTAAATTATCTAGTTTTGTCCATAGATGATTGTAAGAAACAGTTGTTTAATTGAAAAATAATTGAAGGTGATGAAATGTGTTGTTGGAGATATAATGGAAAGTATATTTTCTCTGATATTTATATTTGTGAAAGTGTATCAGTTAGTGGTTGACATTGTTGTTCAGACAATAATTATGGTCATTGTAATTATCATTCTGCATATGTAAATGCTCAGATTGATTTGGAGAGAGTAAATATACCTGTGTAGAAGCCTGTTAATCATTATTTACTTCTGTACAATAATTGTTTTCTTGGTATATTTCATTTGAATGTTTAACTTTTTTTGTTTGAAGTTCTTGGAATTGATTTCCTACAATATTGTTATCCAGCCAATAATTATGCTTGTTGAAAATAGACATAGTTATTTACCAGTATGCTTGCTGAATGTAGACAATTATTAAGTGTGAAAATAATGCATAAGATCTGGTAGAGTCTACTTAATTTTTATGAATTTTTTTTCTTCAGAAAAATCAATTGAAATCAAGTGAAAATATGCTTGGAATTTCACTTAAACATATTTAGAACTGGTATAGTTGTATACAGTATAGTCCAGTAGGACTAGCTCAAGTTATTGCATAAACTTGCATAAGTAACTTAATTAAAAATGTTAAAATATATTTAAATGTACAAAAAGAAACATGTAAAATTTGTGGTAGTCCAAATATGCAAAAGTAAATATAATTCTAGGACTTTAAATAGGAAAATGTAATTATGCCAAAATAGTACCGTTCAGCCTGTTGAGACGACAGCGATAAAAAAGCAGACGACTGGGCCGTTTAATGATAAAAAATCAGTGTAGTTTACACGCTTTTCGGAATGAAAATCAAAAAGCGCCCGCTATTCATAACATTTAAACCAGTCTAAATATTCAGCCATTGAGGCGCTTGTTAAGCGTTTTACAAGAGGCGCTTGTCAAGCGTTTTACAACATAGATTTCAAAATGGCGGCGCCCGCTAACTAAGGATTTTTTCGCAGCTCATTAGGTTTGGGATATATATTTTTTTGAATTTTTCATTAACTTTTAATTTGATTTCTTTTGAATTGATACGCGTCATACATGTTATCTAAGAGCGCTACAGCCCTCGCGGGGCCTTCGGCCCCGCTCGGACTTTCCGCGTATTAAACTTGACTTGTGATAATTTCTGTAAGGTTGAACAACACCAAATCATTAATTGGACACAAGAGGCACGGTGAATTGGGTATTATTTGCAACATCAGTGAAAGTCAGTGAAATATATATCCTTGTATCATAGTTTGGGGACCTTTCTTTTGAAAATGAGTCCGAGTTAAATCTTAAATACATGTACATGCACAGTGCGTTAACTGGAGTGCAGGTATTTAAGTTACCCGCACTCCAGAGCATGCCCATTGATTGGTTCATTTTTGCTGGGGTTTACTTATTGTGATGGCAGAGAAAAGGAAAGCGTCAGAAATATCTTATTCAGATGCTCGTTTATTGGCTATATTTCCGGGGTTTCATATTGTGACAATAGGGAACGTGTTTTAATGTTTGACTATGATACAAAAGAGAAAGAACATCAAAACAGTCGGCAATCTAATTAATACTCGGGGGCTACGATAAAAACTGAGGAATTCTGACTGAAAACGGATGTGTAGACTGGTCACCCGCGCACTTCTATATGGGAACCATAATTGGACAGGGAACCAGAATAACGGAAGCTGTGTATAAAATATCGGATGACAGTTTTAAAACGGAAAATGTAAAATGAAAATTGAACAATTATTTTAACCGACTTTTCCCGTACACTATCAGAAATTTTTCTATATAAACAAAGAAGGCCCAACAACAATGCACTTGCCGTTCTTATTATCTCCCTGTGTATTTTCACATTGAGGGCGCCATTTTGTTTAAAAAATTCTGATAAATTAAAACAATTTTTTGTCGAATTTTGATGTGAAAGAAAATGGTCTAACTAAGAAAATGAAAATTAACACCAATATCTTTTATTCAGTTGTTAACGCTGTACAGACGTTTAAAGTATTGTTTACTTCGACGTCACAATGTAGCGCCAAACAGCACATGCAAAACAACCAAATCAAGTGTGCTATTTTAATGTCGCAAACAGGTTAAGTTTTACATTAACGTGTGACGTCACACGCACTCGTCACTGCATTTGTTTACAAACATTGAAACAACAGTTGAGCCGATTCCTTCTTTCTTGCTGTAAATTAAGGTAATTCACGTAGCACAAATGATAAAATACATTAATTTTATTCATATAATAGGAGGAAACAGAATAAACAGAAGCAGTGTATAAAATACCGAATGACAATTTAAAAACGGAAAATTTAAAATAAAAATGATCAAGCGATTATTTTATACTATTTCACGTTAAAAGTACATCAAGCTCGCTTTGAGGCTTTGCCTTTTTCATATTATGAACGTAGGCAAAGCCTATGAACAGGGTTCACTTAGTCAGATAAAAAAATGTTCTTTTTTTATTTTACATTTTTGGTGTCAAAGGTGTCATTTCTGTTTGAAAGTAAAGAAATATGTATTCAGTGATTAAACCTATCAAATATAGCCCCATATGAAGGTATTCCCTTGAAACTTCACTCGTGTCTTAGTAACTCTAGCAAGATCTTATCATACAAAGGTATTCCCTTGAAACTTTACTAAATTTATCTTAGTTACGTAAGCAAGTTTTTATCATATGAAGGTATTCCCTTGCAATGTCCCCCATGTCTTAGTAACTTAACTTTTACTTTAGCAAGATCTTAAAGACTTAAACTCTAGCACACCTTTACAATATACATAATCATATATTGTTCCCCTTTACTTAGAAAATTTCTGTATGAGAATTAGTTTTACTGTCTGGCAAGCATTACAAATTATGTTTTACCAATTCTATTTTTAAATCAGCCTTATTTAACAAGTCAAGTGCCCTAAATGCATAGATCCCTGACCTGTCTAATTTTAGTTGTCAGATTAGTGGATACAATAAGAATTTCACCAAAACATATTTGATAAAAAAAGAGCACGTCAATGTTTGCAGTTTAACCTATTGTTATCCAAATTAAAGGTCATAGTAGGAATTGTCGATAAAAATGCTTCTATTTTAATCCATGTATTATAGTGTATTCTACTATCTTAAAGACTCAATTTAAATCATGATTAGAAATTTTGCCAATTACTGGTTAGAAAACAATCCGGTTAAACTGATTTATCATTTCTTACAGAATGTCTTCAGGATTGACTGTTGAAATGTTAAATGTCCCTTGATATAAAATACAATTGTCAAATAATCAATGAAATTGCATTTTATAACTATGTTATGGTTATTTAACTATTTATTGGTGATTGTTTTAGATGAAAGTGATTATATGATGAGACAAGAATGAGTTCATCACTGATTAATGCTAACCCTGTGGTTTATGAGAAGACCGGAGAGCGAGAGTGGCGACCTGAAGATGAAGATGATGATGTCAAAGATGAAATAGATGATCGCGAAGTTTTTGGTAAATATTTTAATAAATTTAGATAAAAAAGAAATATATTGACCATTGTTAAATCAGCATGCCTCCACTTGTTCATGCTCATTTTCATCAACATTTTTAAAAGGTATCAGGGCACTTATTTGGTTGTTTTTTGGGCCGAATATGGGTACAATTCCCCTCTCAAAATCAACTTAAAGTAATTTGTTTTATTTGTTAGTCTACATCAAAAAAATATAAAAGCTATTGATTTTAATGGTAGGAAATTACTAACTATTGAAACCAATGTTAAGAAAAAGTGTAATAAGCAAATGTGAAAAAAAATACACTAAATACATAATTATATAAAATTCCGGATATTGCCTTAAAACGACGCAAAAATCCCCTTCCTAAGGGTATGGGTACCTGTCCCCAAAAGGTGTCTAGTGCTCTGGGTATTTTAAAGTAAATTATTGTGAAGTGAACAAAGACATTTAATTGACACGTTGCGAACAGCACTTTCAATCCACTCGAAGTACCCAAAAGAGGTTAAAATATGCAGAAATCACTATAGCCCTTATTGTGTTAAAAACTCAGTAGCAATATGGTGGCATATACTACAAAATCAGTCATTAATCACAAATACATGTAAATTATTAGTTTAATCTTGAATCTTTTTACTTTTCTTAAAATATTTTCTTCATTTTTCCAAAACTTTATTTTCTTGAAATATTTTGGCATATCTGGAGGCATGCAACTTTAACACAAAGACAGAACAATCAAAAAGCAATTGCAAATGGGATATATAATTATCACAATTTTTTTTTGTTTTTATCATTAAATAGTATTTAATTCAAAATTGGTTGTTTACATTGAAAAGCCAATCTCATTAAAATCAGATCATTGTTTTCGCTCCGTTACTCTTCGCTTACATGCGTAGGGTAGTGAAGCAACAGTTAGGATATGATTTTAATGAGATTGATAGAAAAGCCATTGTAACCTAGTAACATATTTTCTCCACTTTTTAAAAGGGAACTTCTGTCATAAGTTCCATATTGCATAGAATTGACACTAGCTACTTGTACATGACTACAAAACAAAGAATTTATTACTATGATTTATTGTAGATCTGATCAGATGCATAAATGATCCAGAACACCCACTTTCATTGGAGGAGTTGAATGTAGTAGACTGTGATAATGTACATGTAAGTATAACTATAAAAAATATTTTCTTGTCTTCTGTTTACATCGCTATATCCAATAGGATTTTTTTACTGTTTACATTATTGTATCTGATAGGATTTTCTACTGTCTACAGCTTTATATCTGCTAGGATTTTCAACTGTTTACTTTAGTGTATCCAATAGGATTTTTTACTGTTTACATCTCTATATCTGATAGGATTTTCTACTGTTTACTTTAGTGTATCCAATAGGATTTTCTACTGTTAACATCGCTGTGGCCCATAGGATTTTCTACTGTTTACATCACTGTATCTGATAGGATTTTCTCTGAGGCCCATAGGATTTTCTGCTGTTTACATCACTGTATCTGATAGGATTTTCAACTGTTTTACATTGCCGTATCTGATAGGATTTTCTGCTGTTTACATTGATGCTAGATAAGCCTTTCTTGCATATTAGACAGGATTATTTACTGTTTACATCATTGCTAGAAAAACCTGTCGTACAACCTGCTCCCCATGTAAGATATGTCAGCATCATTCCCATTCACCTTTTATTAATTGATTGCTTAGGACAATTTATTTCACTATTATGATTATATGAATGAAGTTGTAAATTCATAACCTTCTATGAAAAAAAGTGCTTAATGAAAATATTAGTTTTTGTTATTTCCTTTTTGAAATATGCTTTGATATGTAAATTGCAAGAAAAAGAACCAAACACTGGCTGTCTTCACAGACGGGAGTATTTAGCTGTATGGTAACTGTCAAGTGAAAACTTGGCAGAGCCTCAGGTTACCTTGTTTTCACTGTAAACAGTGACCCTAGCGCTAGATATTCCTATCTGTTCCAGCAGCACATGTTAAATTGTTATAATCTGTTGATATTGATAATATAGCATCACACATCCAGTTTCATGAAAATTTTTTATAAAATTTTGAATAGTTAAAAAGTAGTCAATGGCAAATTCTTAAAATTCTGTTTCAAATTTAAAGAAATTTGAGTTGAAAATAGTAAAAACATGTATAATTCAAAATTACAAATAAAGTGATTCAAACTGAGCTGTGTTTTGTGGTCAATTCCTATGTATCAAAACTCCAAACCAGTGTTAAATAGTCAATAAACACCACAGAGACCCATAATATTTCTTTAGTACAACATAAGCCAAACGTGTTTTCAGTATATTATGGTAAATGCAAGTTATATCTCTATGAACTGATAGCCTTTTTCTGATCCTTTTTCTGATCCTTTTTCTGATCCTTTTTCAGGTGAATGATGCTGAGAGTACAGTGGAGATTTTATTTACCCCCACCATACCCCACTGCAGTATGGCAACACTGATCGGTCTATCCATACGAGTTAAACTGCTACGATCACTTCCTTCCAGATTTAAAGTAAGCTGAAGTCTCTTTTCTTATTTACAGAATGGGATCATCAGGCCTTTCACAGAAATGAGGACTTTTTTGGCTTGTCTGGTCAATAATAATAAAGTTATATAAGGAGAAATAGGGACATTTTTCTTAATTTTTGGGAAAGATATAAAATTGCATTGGTTAACATTGAAATTAATGGGATGACTCTTCCCAAGAGTTATGCAGGGTACAATAATATAGTAATAATAAACAGTATAACTGTTTAAATTGTTTATTCCAATGATGTAAGGTACAAAGCTGAAACTAAGTTATTCTAAAAAATTGTCATTATTAATGGTATTAATACAGATTACTAAACAAGGCTATACATGTATTAAAGGAAAGTTTCAACTTTTTTTCACAACTTAGTAAAATCTTCCAATGAAATCTTTTAGACTGATTTCAGAACTTACCTACTCTAATGGAATTTTTTTTTGTTTGACTAAGTGAAAACTATTACCCAATAAAATTGCTGACACAAAGTATAATTCTACGCTGATTTTTTTGGTTAAAGGTTTATGTCTTTATACCTTATATTGATCACAAATGATCTCCAGATTCTTGTTTCAAGATAAAACATGTCTATTGGGTAATAAAATTGATGTGGATTTTTTTTACACAATATTTCTTGCCATACATCGTTATTATATAAATTCCCCAAGATAAAATCCTGTCTAACTACTGAACACTACAAATATTTCTTGTACGTGGCAACACTCTCTATGGGCTTTAAATTTGTTATCATTACATTTATTCCAATATTTAGGAGTGCTTAACGAAAGGCTTAAAGAAATAAGGTGTTAAAATCTATCTTTTATAGTGTGCATTGTTCAAAAGTGAACCTTTCCTACTGAATTTCTGTAACACAGAATTGTCATATTTTAAATCTCCAAAGACCATACATGTATAATTATTATTTAGCATGCATTATAACATAATTATGAACATGTTCATATTTATTCATTTATGAACACGTAGATTTACTAGTGAACATACTTCAATATATATAGTTACTTATGAATTATCAATTTACAAATGAACATGTATATTAACTTGTGAACAAATATATATGGATATTTGTGACTTTATATATACTGAAACATGTGTTTAAAAGTGACTATAAATGATTATAGTACCAAGTGTATAAAAGTGAACATAATAGACATATACAAATGTACTTACTTGTATATACAGTGTAACTTCCGAATTCCGGAACTTCTGAAATCCGGAAACTTCTAAAAACCGAACAGTTTTTTCGGTCCCGATTTTTTCCCTTCTATTTTCTATTAATATAATACTTTTGAATTCCGGAACTTCTAAATTCTGAATTCCGGACGATATTTTCGTAAAATTAGAGTCATGTATGCATTTTTACAGGTTGATATAAAGATAAGCCCAGGAACCCATGCCTCAGAGGAAGCTGGTATGTAAGATTTCCTTTATGAAAACAAAACTCCGATAACATATTGAGCAGTGTGTTACTACCCTTTTATAATGTATTTGATATTATAAAGAGGGACATAATGTTTATTTTCTGCCAAAATTTGTTGTGGGATATATTGTATTTATAAGTCTGTCTGTCCATTCATCTTGCAAATCTCATTTTTGTTTTGACCATAACTTAAAAACTTTCAAAGATATTCATTTGAAACATTAATGAGTTAAGTTTGCAACTAGTGCAGTGACCAAGAACAGTAACTCAGTTTAGTCCAGTTTTGGAATATTCTCCCTTTTAATCAATTTCTAGTTTTGTCTGGAGCATAGGTCCAAAAGGAATACAAGTGATTGACCTTAAACTTAATATACATGCAGATAGCATCCAGGAAAATTGCACTTTCAAAGAACCATAACTCTATATGCTACCATTCTGAATTAATTCCCATATATTTTTATGCCTCTGGGCATATAATAACATATAAGACGATTTATGGCGTCATAATTTACACACTTTGTAACCAATACAAAGTTCATGATGTTTGCAGTTTTACATGTACATAATTTCTGGGTTTTCATTTGTTTCTTCAAAGATGTGTTCAGGATTATAATTTTAGCTCACTGACTAGACTACTTCATAATATTTACCTGTGTTTAAAATAATACTATTGTTTAACTCACAAACTAACTGATATCAAATCTTGCATGTCATACAAACTACTGGAAGTGGTGTTTCAAGCTAAATCTACATGTACTGTTACAATCTACTAATTTTGATCAAATAAAAAATTTACGATAGTAATGCTGTGTGCAAAGCAAATTCTTTGAAAGTAGTTGCATATACAAGAGTTGACCTTATTAAGAATAATAGTCCTCCCACTTAGCACTATAGAGGGAACATCAGATTTGTAATTCAAGGGTCGCTGGTTTGAGTGAGTCAAAATATTTTTTTGACAATAATCTGGGACATTTACTCTTATGATCATTAATGTCTTGCACTGCTTATTAAAAAATCATGTAGGATAAGTAGTAAGTTTCATATTTACTTGCTAGTTATCCAGGAAAGTAGGGCTGTCATTGAATATAGCAATGTCGATATATATCAATTTTTTATCATAAATAATCATCATCCTTTACAATATTGATACACAATTTCAAATATCGATAAAAGCTAAAAAAAAATTAATTTCTGTTAGTGAATATACCTCTTTATTTTGCCTGATACTTTTTTCATTTTTCTTTGTTAACTTGAACTTTAAACTCTGTTTTCAAATGTCAGTGTCAAAAATAAGAGAAAAAACAAAGTCTTTTGTAGTATTTGTAATGACTAATACAAGCATGCATCACACCATGATCCCAATTTATAACACATATTTTGATATTTTTCATTGTAGCTAAGTCGGTATTTGTCTCTCGATATATCAATGCAAAATTTTCTATCAATGACAGCCCGACAGGATAGCATGTTAAATGGATTAACAGCTGAGATATGACTAAAAATGTTCTAAAATCAGCATTAAAAAACAAGATAAATAAGCAATGATAATATTTTTTTCCTTCCATTTTTTGTGTACTTTTTCTTCCAGTGAACAAACAACTAGCAGACAAGGAAAGAGTTGCAGCAGCTCTAGAGAATTCACATCTTCTTGAAGTTGTTAATCAATGTCTGGCATCTAACAGGACCTCAGGATAAACACCGTATATTACATATAATCTCTAGATATGACAGAACAATGATATCACCTCTACTAGAATATTATATTAGTTTTCCTGAAACCTAAAACACTAAGTTCAGATAAGGCAAAATGATGGATCTATAATTCACCTTATTTCCTGGTGAAACAGAAAATTTCAGAAGTGAAGAATTCTTAGATAAATTATTTTCCCAAAGGAAGAAATGCTGATTTGCCATTATTTATTACATGCTTTTCGGTCGTTTATAGAAATATATCAGTGATATAAAACTGGTAATTTCACTGTTTGAAACAGTGAAATTACCACTTTGATAATTTCACTGTTTTGAATTTAAGCCCCTTACGTTGTTTCAGTGAAATACCAGCGTGCACAGTACTGGGTACCAACTTAATGACGTGACGTCGTAAATGACGTCACGTTGTATTATTATTTGGCGCGCTTTTCATTTAGTTTTAGGTTAAATGTCTTTTTAAAACGTTTCTTTGCATATAATAAAAAGAAAATTTGTTCAGTTTAGTGTAAGATTGAAATATATTTCACCTTGTGAACACCAAAAGTTCATATTTCACTCGTGGCTGCGCCACTCGTGAAATATACCTTTTGGTGCTCACTCGGTGAAATATATTCCGATCTTACACTGAACTAAACAAATATCCTCTATTTATTAAATGCTTTTCTGTGGTTTATAGAAACATATCAGTGAGATATAAACTGAAAACTTCACTGTTTGAAACAGTGAAATTAGCAATTTTATATTTTTTACTGTTTTGAATTTAAGCCTGTTACGTTGTTTCAGTGAAATACCAGCGGGCACATTACTGGAAACCAACTTAATGATGTGACCGGTCGTAAATGACGTCACATTGTATTATTATTTGGCGCGCTTTTCATAAGGTTAAAATGTCTTTTTAAACGTTTCTTTGCATATAATAATAAGAAAATTTGTTAGTTTAGTGTAAAATCGAAATATATTTCACCTAGTGAACACCAAAAGTTCATATTTCAGTCGTGACTGTATATATACCTTTTGGTGCTCACTCAGTGAAATATATTCCGTTCTTACACTGGACTAAACAAATATCCTCTATATTATGGTGTCAATTGTGACATTATGTTTGACTTTATAAAAATGTCAGTTGCAATTTTATTAAACACAGTATACCTTGTTACTATGTTTTATTTTAAATAAACAAGTAATTATGTTTTTAAGAAGTAATTATGTTTTTTAAGATGTGGTAAATATCAAAAATACAATATTTTGTTAGTGATCATTTCAAGATTTGTATGTGAAAGACAAATTTGACAAATTATTTAAAGAAGCATGCCTTCAGATTTATGCTGATTTTCATGAAAATTTTTAAAAATGCATTTAAAAGTAAAATGTTGTGGAGTAAATAAAAGTAAGCAATTAACACATTACAAACAGCACTTACAACCCACATTAGGTACAAAAATTAGCCCAAAATATTAAGAAAATAGCCTTTACTGCATTTGATTTAGTAAACAGTGGAAATGTGGTTATAAATACTGAAAATCAAATTCAACATGTAAATTATTACTTAAAACCTTGAAAACTCTTAGTACATATTTCTCAAGTTTGATTATATTGAACTAATTGCATGCAGCTTTAAACTTAACTAGTTTTTGGATGATTTTTAGGTTAATATGGTAATTATCTTTGCTTTGGTAGATTTTGAATTCATTTTACTTTTAACAAACATCAAAAAGACAAGTCATGTTTTATTGTTTTCGTATGTTTATCATGAGTATAGTTGAATGTTATTGATAAATACTTTAGATAAAAATAATATCAAGTTAAAAAGAATAATTATAGAAAAGAATTATGTTCAGGCAGTATAAATAAGTTGAATTGTTAATTGAACTTTTAGGCTGTGTAATTAATTGAATTGTGAATTGATCTTGTTAAAGAACCCAACATTTTGACAGGAATATATTTCTGATAAATTTATAATGGAACTGTACCTGTCTTATTAAATAAATAATAATCAATATGAATGTATTGTGTTCTATATATATTTTGTTAATATTTGAAAAATAAAAAATTAAAATGTGAGTATTTTTCTTACGCTTTCTCAGACTTTCTTGAATTCTGTATCATTCAGTGAAGTTATTCTTTTTAGCGCACCAAAACTAAAGACTTGAATAACCTTTTAGGATTGTTAGATATATATTATGTTCTCTAAATAGAGGCCTATGTGGGTGAGATGTTATGGCTGCTGATTTCGTTGTTGGAATCCTGTCGGAGACTTTGGCTTCTTTATAACAAGGAAGCTATCCAGATAGCATACAAAAGGTCAATGGTCCTACTCGGGGAGCCAGCAAGTGCCTGAATAATGCGTGACAGGGTACCTGAGGTCTTTCCTCCAAAAGTGAAGCGGAGAAAGTCGCTGTGTAAATCCAACAAAACAAATGTTCACTGAAACCACTGATCAAAAATAACTGTATTGATTTTCTCTAAAGTTGTCAAATTATTCTGAATGAAATAAATTAGCTAAAAATGTAAAAAAATCTTTGAATTGATTGTTATGAATTAATGAGTGGATCTGAACTAAACACATACTTGGAATTAAGATTTTTTATTGACTTTTTTCTTTCTAAAGCTTTTTTGAGAACAAATAATCTTATACATCTATTAATAAGTCAATTGATCTGAAGATGGTAAAATATTGTTATAAACCACCTTAAAAGTAGTTATTAGTCCCCTACCGGTTTACCGGAGGGGACTTTAGGTTTACCCTCCGTCCGTCTGTCCGTCCGTCCGTCCGTCCGTCAGTCCGTCTGTCCGTCCGTCAGTCCGTCCGTCCACAAAACTGGATCCCGCGATAACGCAAAAAGTACTGAAAATATTTTAATGAAACTTGATATATGGATAGATGGCAGTATGGAGATTATGCACGTCTTTTTCTTTTCTTCCTATGTTGAAAATTCTGGTTGCTATGGCAACAAATAGACTGAAAATATGGCAAATTTTACACATAACCTGGATCCCGCGATAACGCAAAAAATACTGAAAATATTTTTATGAAACTTGATATATGGATAGATGGCATTATGGAGATTATGCACATCTTTTTCTTTCTTTTTTCCTATGCTGAAAATTGTGGTTGCTATTGGCAACAAATAGACTGAAAATATGGAAAATTTTACACATAACCTGGATCAAGTGATAACGCAAAAAGTATTGAAAATATTTTTATGAAACTTGACATATGGGTAGATGGCAGTATGGAAATTATGCACATCCTTTTTTATCTTCCTATGTTGAAAATTCTGGTTGCTATGGCAACAAATAGACTGAATTTCAAGATTTCTGATTCTAGTTTTTAAGATTTTTCACTATAAGTTCTTTATTTCTTAAGGTATTTTCTTCAAACTTTAAATATAAGTTGCTTGTCATCAACCACATCATATGTGACAAGGTTTACAACTCTAGCACAAAATTTATCAGAATTACCTCCCTTGAACTTAAAATTTTCATGAAAAAAACATTGTTTTTTTTTTAATAACTTCTTTTTCTGAATGTATCTACTTCAAACTTCATATAAATGTTTTTTATTGTCACTCAACATTTGTGATTGTTCAATACTCTAGCAAGACTATTTCCAGAATTATGCCCCTTTTGAACTTAGACTTTTTTTTGAGAAATTGGTAATTTTTACTCCAACTTCTTCAATCATGATAGGATTTTAAAAATGTTATATTTTGATAACAGGGATGTTTAAAAAATAACTTTAGAGTGTCCTTCAGTCCGTCTGTCTGTACATAAAAACTGTTTCCTGTGATCACTTTTAAAGAACTTTTTCAACAAATTTACTTAAAATACGAACCTAAGTGAATGGCCAATGGCCCTTCAGAATGTTGCTTGGGCTCTTACCGGTAGGGGACTTATGGATTGCTTGCAATACTATGATAATTGCTTGTTTAACATCCTTTACTTGTACTTGATGAATTCTTGGTAAACATTCAGCCTCAAGAGCTAAATATAGAAAATAATCTGAACAACTTTCAATTTAATATTAGCTCAATTTGGAGATTGGATTGTTACCATAGCAACTTTGCCGCAAAAAAATATTGTTCATCATGATTGAAATAAATGACAATCGTTTCAAAGTATATCAAAATTTCTTAATAGGAAACAATTTATCAAGAATAGTGAAAATAATAGCAATATATTTGAACAGTTAAAGATCAAAAAGCCACTTCAAATGTTGAGGTATTTATTGACTTATTAATATTATTATGAAAAATGTCTCATATGGCAACATTAAGACAGATGTGTCTATTCTAATTCTGTAATTGCGATGTTAAATGCCGTAAAAAAGAACATATCTATTATAGAACTTACTTCTGAGTTAGTTTACTGTAAACTGAGTACGGTTCATTTGACGGTTAAAATTTAATATATTCTTTTCTGTAGTAATTGGTGAAGAAATAAAACTGGTAAAAGATATGATCAATATAAATATACATAATATAGCAATGAGATAACACATAATATTTGTCCCTTTTATAGCACTATTTAACAGGATTAAGAATGTTTTCTTTGGAAGTGTACACATGAAAGATGACCAGAATATATATTGGAATAGAACTATAGAACACAAAACCTTTATGTTGTGGGGTTGATAGTTTACTCTCCGGATCACGGCTTTACCGGTTCAGCCACCGCATCGTTCCTTGACAGACTGTCAAGGAATATATCCGCACTTGATGCCTTCACTTTTGTAAAGAAATGATAACTTCTGTACATGCCAGGGGAGAGATGTAGTGCAAATGACCATAAAAAGGTTTTCATGATCAGTCACAACGTAAGTGACCTGTACCGTCCGGCAATTGAACCCGACTCGCCCAATTCACGGCCCAACTTTCTACCTATTGAGGTAACTGGGCGGTTTAAAATCTACTTGTAATTTGGTTACCATTTTTCAATAATACACAATTTGATTTTCATACATCTTAGTCAATTAAAATTAAGGTTTCTTAAAAACATGCTCAGTTATATTTTATGTTACTTAGGAAATAGATATCAATTTTGAGTGCATTGTTGTAGAATAATGCACGGTTTGAGTTCAAATGCGTAGTAATATAATCACGAAGGCCGATA